TGAATCAATATACTAATCAGATGTTAGAGTGATTATAATTGCATGCGCTTATAGGTCGCGGGGTGGTTTACACAGAAAATGAGATTTTCTGTAATTAACATTTTTGTAATTTTAGATTGAACATTCTAGGCATCATTTTAGCTCGTCCTCGGTGCCTTATGTAAAGTTAGTTTATGATTGACATTTTCCTGTTGCGGTGATGTTTTCACGTACTTATACGATATATGACTATTCCAAATATCATCAAGTCTATCCAGAATGATTCGGAATGAACCGTCGAATTTTTTACGGTTGATCGATATAGAGGACTTTCTTTGCGTTCTTTATTTGGGTAGCAGTTCTAGTTGGCTAGCAGCACGCTTTCTGATTTGCACACTTAAACGGAACTTCGCGCAATCTACGCGTCATCATTTTGGCGCCATTCATTCAAATTGTTAACGGGAACGCTTACATCCTGGGGCGTTTTAAGGGGTGGGGGATTGGAGTGGACGCTTTTTTCATTTTATCAGGTATTCGATCCCCTCAGCAACCAAAGAATCCCCCCTGTGATATTTTCTTATGACATCCAGTTTTTGCCGACCAGCCGTAAAATTTTTTTGAATAATTTTTTCAAAGTTTCTTGCTGCGCAGAACGTTTTATCCAAATATGGTGTCAGTAGTCTTTCAAGAGCGCTTGGAAAACAAATCAATTTAGTCGACTTTTTTCTAAAATGAAAGGTCGACAAATTTTTTGTCTATGATGCATCCTTTTAACCTTGAAACAATTTAATCACTAGTTACATTTCGCCAACGTACAATTAGAGACATAGTGACTTTTTTCAGTTGTTCTTTCTGCAAGAGAACTTCAAAACAAGTATCTCTAAAGGTATCAAAATGCTGATTTATCGCCGATATTCAATTGATAAGCTTTATCAAACTTTCAATAGGCAGTTTAGAAACTTTCAGTTCAACTGACCACCGAGTTTTGAACAAAATATGCGCGTTGATTTTGACTAAAAATGACTTGTAATCGTAAATGCTATGTAAAGATCCGATCGAATTTTTTATCTGAATTATTTTCACTTCCCTCCTTTTACTGCAATATTATCGGTAATACGCTACTAATACTTCGCTGATGACCCAGCCAATCGCATTCCTATTTTGCAGGGTTCGGAACACACTTCTTGCAAGTTTCGCATTCTTAATCGGAATGCACTTTTATTCAAGTTTTTTGGAAGATTGATTTCATCGGAATTTTTATTCGCGTAAGTTTTTTATACATATCTCGAAATACATATCTTTTTTTCCGCATTAGCCCTCAGAACTTTACTCCAGACTTCGCTTTATCGTGATTTTGCAAATTCATCTCAGCTAAGGTATTATGCTATATTTTAATTTTTTTTTCGGATATGATCAATGAAGACGCTAGGCGGAAGGCTATTGGATAGTTTATCAATAGTTTGAGATACGGCTGGCATGCTAAAACAAATAACTTTTAACTGCCTCGCCCCAGTTATCAATTCTTCGCCCGACTATCAAAAAATTATACTAAACTGAGAAATACCTTCTTTAGTGAGCATTAATTTTTTTGGTAGCCTATAATTACTCATTTCTCAAGATTTCAATGAAAAATGCCTGCTTTTGTCCTTTTTGCAATCTTTTATAAGTCATCAATGTAGAATCTTTTATGATGCTCCGGTGGAAATTTTACCATAACTGGATGAAAAACTTTCTTTACGCTTGACTTTTCTCAAGTTTTTTGTGCTCTAGATTGTAACAGGACAGTCCCTATTGACGCATGATATTTTTTTTTCATTTGAAAACGATCTTTGCTTCGTCGAAAACAAAAAGCTATTTCTTAATTTTCATATTGTTTGCTGGCATTTTGGTCTCCAATCACCTTTGGGTTTTTTCACCCCAGCGTAAATACTGGTTCTGCTTTCATTCTCTTTTTTCGATTTGATTAAAATTGTTATTATAATTTATAATTTATTAAATTATTTTGGCAACGCGTCAATTCATGCAACGTTTTCAAAAAAATTAGTTTGAATGAATGCCATTTTTGGTTATGACGCCTCAAATGGCAACCAATTGCAAATAAGAAGCTCAACCAACTCAGTGCACTTATAAGGTATAGGAGATATAACAACCATTTTTTATTGAAAAATTTGTCGGCCTTCCAAATTAGTTTCTTATCAGCCTGATCAATTAATACCTAAGAAAATCAATCGAATACTAACTTGATTTCAAAGTAAGTAATGGTAAACTCCACTTTTTGGAATGCGTGGTAGACCATTCGAACAGGTCACCGGCTGGTAAAAGAACTAATTAGGCTGGTAAAATATCTCTCGAATATAGCCTGTCCCAAATATAACGGTTTAAAATGAAAAACAAAAAAAAGTCTGTGTTTTTGTTGTGAGCTTCGAATCTGGCTCAATTTTTTCTGTTAATTAATTTTAAAATCGATTTGAAATTACTGTCTGAAATTACTCCTTGAGAAGGCCACTTCAGACCTAAACTTATCTGGTGCGATCAACGAGTCTCAAGCAGACCTACTACCAATTTAGTTTTAGGGACCATTTAACAAATCAGAAACAAAATTAGCTTTTTCTTCACATTTCAATAAGTCTAATGAAGCCGAGCCAATATTCAAGACAAATTTGCATCGCAAAGCGAAAACAAGCAGAAACCAAGATTTCAAAAAATATTACTTGTGCATTAAACCAAAATACTACTTTGTTAGCTGTAACAAAATGAGCCAGAAAGTTAAATAAACCTATCCTTATAAAATTTAGCCGAAGCTAGGTTTTCGAATCAATAAAATCATCAATAAATTTTTTGAAAAGTGGGATATTTTCATTAGGAAAAGGAAGAAACACTAGTATTGATTTAACTGGTCCACGGTTATAGTTGCGAGTTTAAACAGTTAGCTGGATGAGATTTTGGCTACAAATATATTTTTAGTCTCATTTGTATGAAATGTTTAACTTTTGTAGCGTTTTTGCTGAATTCATTATTCCTCATATTTTTATGATCTGCGGTTTATAGAAAAAGTTCAATTAAAAATAACTCTAGCAAATAAATCTGTCCACTTGAAATTACTGGAAACTTTTCAATAGCTTGGATACGAAAACAACTTTGCTAATACGGGGAGCTGAACATCAATAATTGTTCAAGGTCCTAAATTGTTTTTCAACGTTATGAGTTTTCATTTACACAGTAGTGTTTTAGTACAAACTTTCTTTTTTTTTTCGTCCTACGACGCAAGTCTTGGTTTCATTATGGGGCAATTTACGGCTCATTAATACAGTTGATGCATTTTTCATTTATCAAATGAACCGTATAAAGATATTTTGTAAACAGCAGTACAATAATAAATTGTGGACTGGACTTCAGATATTTTCTAATTCAATAAATCTTGCAAAATTCGTGAAATGCCTAAATTATACAACATCTGGGTTGATGCTTTCCAATTTATTAGATGCAATGTTAGTGTGGATGTTTGTTTGTTGTTTTCCACTTTATTACTTGCGAAATTGTGTTTTTGTATTTGACTTCACTTTTGCACCGTTGTATTGGCAATTTATTAACATATGTAGCTGTTTTAAAAGTCAGAGGTTTAAAAGTCACTTGATCGTAGGAGCAAGTCTGCAACTGCAGAAATTTTATTTTTTAAGGATTAATTTTCATCTTTTTTCATATTCAACTTTGAACAGCTACTTTTTTGTCAATTTTTTGCTAGTGTTTGCAAAGCGCAGCTTTTCCTCTCCTTAAAGTGCCTCGTTCAAGTCGTTCCGAAACCAATAAGTAAACAACGATACAATTAGCAGGTACTTTTTTGAGCAGCTACTTTTTTGTCATTTTTCGCTAGTGTTTCCAAAGCGCAGCTTTTCCTCGGCTTAAAGTGCCTCCTTCAAGTCGTTTTGAAACTAATAAGTAAACAACGATACAATACAGGTACCATCGGTTGTACACTTAATCAAATAAAAAACATTAAGTTATTACAAGTAGTTACAAAATCAAATTTTTTAGTATGTTTTTATATATCATGTTTTTGTTTGTTGCACTGTTTTTATTGTTTGAACGTTTTAAGTGTTCACAAACTGGTCTTTGTTATCTTCCATTTAAGTTTTACTTTTAAAAACAACTCCAGTAGTTAGAAACATTTTGACAGTGTCCTCAAAGAGAGATTTAATTAAGCTATAATTTTCAAATTAATTAAAAACAATTTTTCAAAATAAAGAATTTTACTGTTTGAGTCTAGGATAACCTAATTACATGAGCAAACAAAGTTATAGATCGAGAGTTAGTTTTAGCAATGTTAAATCGCACATTTTAGCGCAGAACAGAAGTCCATTTTATGTAATTTTTGAACTGCCACAATTCAACTCTAGTTGTTTCTTAAGTAACGACCTTTTTAAAACCAATTCACCTCAGCGAAGGTAGTTTATTCGTATGATTTCATTTTTTCCAACCTACTTGCAAAAAAATTCTAATTTGATGACATTTTTGATATAATTTCGATTTGTATAGTTGGAAAATGCATAGAATCTGTTATCTGATTTTTATGACTAGTGATCGGAAATCGTTATGCTTACTTGCTGAGAGGAAAGGACGTGAGATTCAAATCTCGTCGTCTGTGGCTCAAATCCGAGACGTAGCAAAAACTTTACTAATTCGAGGCTGATTTCTACTTTTGATTATTTCATTTTTGGAGCTGCTGATTTGTTTATCTTTCGCAAGTGTTTTCAAAGAGCAGATTTGGCTCGATAGGAATTTTTCATTTCAATTTTTTGAAATTTTTGTTAAGATAACTAAGGTTGGGCTAATTTAATGAATGTTAAGGCCAAAGAAAAATTCACTCAAAAGTCAACTGGCTGCAAGCATTGATAACAAATATTTGCTCATAATCTTTTCGATTTTCGTAAAACATGAAAATGAATTATGAAGTTAATACATACCTTTTTAAATGTCATACGTTTTTATCAATTGGATTTACTTTCTTCCCACGTGCAAAAAACTTGTTGTAAGTACTGAACTGGCGCACAAAGCTTCGATTTGTTTGTGTATTTTAAATTACTTTTGTGAGAAAACACTTGGTTCAAATTTTGTATATCAGTCGATTTAATCATTTTTCGTTTGAGCTTTAATTTCACGTGATTATACCTCCATTGGGTTTTTCAATGCAGATTTCGAAATTGAATAGTTCAACTCTTTGTTCAACGGACATATCAATTATTTTTTCTGAAACAAACTTTGGGCGATTAATGGGACATGGAAGGCGTTGAGACACTTATCAAAATTAGGTTGTTCACCATTTCTCTTGGCTGAATCGTACAGATTGGCTGAATCCACGCTAGTTTTGATTTTCAGATTTTGATGTTACAAAGTTAAATTATATCATCGTTGATTCTCTTTCTTTCCTGATGAGAAAGGTTCTTAGATGTTTTCCTAATTGCTCGATTAGTTTGAGCCTTACTCCTGTCCATTAGCGGCTATGTTTTCAAATTGGTCAAGTAAGCAAACACATCTTGGACTTTGATTTCTTCCCCCGAAATCTAAAATTGCAAAAAAAAACTAATTTGTCTCTTTGATCTGATTAAAAAAGGTAATATCATTTTTCAGCTTGAACAGAAAAGAAATTAAATTTGACGTCTTTAGTAGTCCGTCCGTGACCGTGAAAATTAAAGGTTACTTGGGTAACCTATGGCTACTTCAATACTTAAAAAACTGTTTCGAATATAAAAAGTAATAAACTAATTGACAACATGAAAAAATTGAAAAAAAAAATCTCAATTTATTGAAATAACAATTCCTAAGAGCAGTTTAGATGTTACTTTCAGTTCAAAGACTTTAACAAAAGAAATTGTTAAAAATGGAATAACTTGACGTGGAATTTCCATCAAGGCTGTTTTTTGACTTTTCGCTGTGGAATACACATGCACATATAAAAAAGCTTAAAGCTGCATTGTTATAATCGCTAGATTGTACAGAATTTGTCATGGCTGAATGCGTTCTTATTTTGTATTTCCGGAAGTTTAATTTGATGCTACAAGATGAAATTATATCATCGACTTTTTGATGAAAATTTTTTAAAAAGTTTTCCTATTTTCCTGATTAAACTGAGCTTTACTCCTGTCCAAGAGCGGCTTTACTTTCGTGTCTCCTGTCCAAGAACGCCAAGTAAGCAAACAAATTCTGGTCTTTTATTTTTCCTGATTTCTAACATAATTAAAAAAATAAACTTTCTCTTTTATCTGATTACAGTAGACTGAAATACAAGCTTCAGTTTGAACGAAAGTTACGATAAACTTGATGTTTTTATTCATCCGCGCAAAATATTGGCGACTTGGGTTACTTAAATAGGTAGAAAAACGGTGTTGGGGATTAAAGAAAAGTAATTAAGTAATTGACAACATGAAATAAGTTTTGGGATTTCTGCCAAAATTGAAACAAAAGCAATTTTTTGATATAACATTTCCTATGAGCAGTGTATCAGTTCAGATTATTTCACTAAAAGATTTGGCTAAAAATGAACGTTATCTGTAATAATCGTAGATATTTACAAGTTGTGTCCAAACCTTTTGATAACCAATTTTTAAGTTACTTGAAAAGTGAATGTTTAACGATTGATAAGAAAACCATTGTAACGCTAAACAGTGTTTGTGAAATTTAAGCGAGCTCTGCAATAGCTGAAAAAAATGTCCCGTGGATTTTGCAACAAAGCTGTTTTTTGACCTTTTTGTCGTTGAATCCAGATATAAAAACAACTTAGAAACTGCACTTCTATAATCGCTCTTTTCGGATTCTGTTACACAATAAATGGTAAAAAAAATTGTTACAAGTTTTTGTATGTATGTTTCGCAACAATTTGGCGGGTTCCGTTTCAAGTTTTTTTTATACATTCAGAGGCATAGGAACAAACAATTGCCAAAAGATGCGTCGCATGAGAATCAAAATTGGCCTCGTTCTGACCTATTGCTTCTGAGTATCATAATATTTAAACTTCAGGCAAATAAACCACTAATAAGAACCGGAGGAAAACGGTCATTTTTGAAACCAGCAGTTGTTCTTCTATTCTATAAGACATTTAGACAAAAAGTTGTTTGGCATGATTTCAATTCAGTCATAGGGACAAATATGTTTGAAGGCGCCTTTATGTCATATTTTACACTAACCAAGTTTGTAGACTCCTCGAGTAAAAAACGACACATTTAAGCTTTCCGTTCCCGAACTCGACGAAAAGTCAAAATGGCAACAATTCAAGTTAAAAAAGTGTATAGGTGCGTTAGAAAAATTCATCGCTAGAGAGCGAGAAAATATTTTTTTATCCGACTGAGCAGAAAAAAAATCAAAAACAAATAAAAAAAAGATCGCTGTTTTAACACCAGAAACTACCTAAGGTTTGACTGCATATTCAGAGTTGCCAACAGCGGATTCCTGAAGTCGAGAAGTAGACTTGAGGTCTCAATTCCTGACAGGAGATTTACCCACTCGACCAGTGTATGATATGAACACTTCTTCAAAAATAGCGCTGCCTTCAAATGCTCAGGAAATTGCATCAGGTAAGATCTTTTTTGAAAAAATGATGTTTTAGAGGTTTTTCCAGGATGAAAACTATCTGAAGAGTTTAAAAACGTTCGGTATAATTTTTACACGTCATTCGTACGTAACCAATTTTTTTTGTTTCTATCATAGGGTGGAGTAGGAACTTTGGATTCAGCAGCGTTGTTTTTCATTCAAACTTAAAAAAGACATTTAGGTGTCAGATAGGGTCTAGCTACTCGCCATAATATCTCTGGGCTATCTTCATTTTTGGGCTCTGTCTGCATTTTATTCGACTTTGTTTTCGAAACTGACTGATTCTTAGAGAGTGATTATTCAACAATCTTCTTCAGATAAAAGAAATTGTGGTATAAATTAATGGTGCATACAAGATAAAAACATGATGGTCCGTATATATCGGTGAGAACTATAAAATAGGGTTCTAGTTGCAGTTATCCACTTCTAGTTGCATTTGCTGAATTCTAGTTGCGGATAGAGAATTGGGTTTTCTTTCTGGTTATCAAAAAGGAACGTGTCGTTTCTGACCCTGGGCTTTTTTTCTTTCTTGTTTTAAATCTTTCCGGAAAATCCATTCCCTTTACCAGCAGGTTTGGTAAAGGGAATCAATAATAAGTTAGAAAGGTGAGCGAAAAAGCTAATGAAAAAAGCTTGGATTGGGCAGTAACAAGTGAGAAGCATCCGATTATATTAAAAAAGGACAAAAAACCACAGTTTTAGTTATGCTAAGTGGACACCCCTTGTAAGAGATATCAGATATCAGCTGGACATTTTTTTTACCAAATCATCAAGCAGAGAGTTGTGCATAGACATTTTTTGTTTCATTTTCGATTCATGGTTTTTTTTCTCTAACATCATTTTAGTTGAGCCCAGTTTGGTTTTTTTTCAGGAGTTTTTTTTGAAAATTTGATTTCAAAAAAACGGAAGCATGATAGTACGGTTAAACGCTGTACCGTTTTCTGACCTCTTGTTGGGGCCAGCATTTTGTCCGATGGTAGATTAATTTTGTTTTTGTAAAGTTTTTAACCTTTACGAAAACAAAGTCTGTCTCCCATCCGACAAAATGCTGGCTCTAAAAATACTTCAGAAAATTGGTAGTTGAAACTAAATGCCGTAAGATTTTTTTGACTTCTAGGAAGGAAAACGTGCCTTTGGATAATAAATAGTAGGCTAATCGTGCTTAGGGCGCAAAATCCTGTGCGAAAGAGTGAAAAAACTTCAAGCTCTGCAATTTGTGATTAGAAATGGAGACAGAAATTAAACGCAGGCTTGTTCACTGCGGTTTTGGATTCCTGAGGGATTTAATTTAAGGGAAAGCGTTGTGACAGGAATCAATAATGTGGTTGGGAAGTGAACGATGCTAATGGACATTTTGTTCTATTAGGGCCTCAGGGTGATGTAATTTGCATTTTAACAAAAAGAATCCCTTAGTTTTCCGGCTGCATTGATTGATTATCTGTCAATGCCAGTTTAGCTATTATCCATGAAGCATTGGTCAAAACCAAATAATGGAGATGTCTTATATATTGGAGATCTAAATTTTGTTTCCGCTTCAAAACCTTGTGATTCGTTTTGAGTCTTCTACTCAGCTCAAAATGATTAATCTGGTTTGTTTATCAACCGAGTTTAGGTCAAAACGAAAGATAAGTATAAAAAGGTCAGTGACGCTTTTGCGAATTTTCAGTTGATATTTTTATAAGGCTGTTATAACGAACAGCTTGTCGTTCAAAAATCCCCATGGCAAAGTGCAATTACATTGGTAAAGGTAAAAGTCCGCGGGAGGCGTACCGGGAGAAAATCAAGTATGGCTTTTGAGAGTCTGCATTTTCGAAAAAAGAGCCTCTGCTAAAGCATGAGAGACAAAAGTCGTGCAAAAAGTTAAAGAATACAACAAAGTGATACAGATAAAATCATGATAATTTTTTTCCAAATGTTTTCCGAAGAAGTTGTTTTATAAAAAGAAGATCAATGTAATTACATCAAGATTTGATAAAAAATGTTGAATAGTTAGCTAATTTGCCTGTCTGGCTCGGATTTTTTTTGGTTCATGCGAAACTGTATCAAAAACATAGCTGAGAGAAAAGTAATTTTGAAGTCGCAAGTAGTTTCAGTGTAGCAATGGCTGTTCTGCTTTGTTTGAAGGTTAATCCACTGAGTATTTAAAACTTGACGTTACAAACGGCTGATACTTTAAAAAGGCTATAAAATTGTTAAGAATAGGGCAAATAATTTTAAGATTTTTGTTCTGAAATTTTACTATTTTACTAAGGAGATTGCTATAGTTAAAGATGATCAAGGTTACTAAATATCTGTAACGCAGTTCAAGTTGTAGGCATTCAATTCAACCATAAGTTAAAGACCAATTGAAAACGCAACAGCAGAGGAAGCTTACTTTGGACTTTTTTTAAGAGTAAAAGAGGCTGCGGACGTGGGTATTCTGTTCAAGGATAATTTTTGACAAAAAGAAACCGCAGAAACACAATTAGTTTTTTTCCTGAAATTTTGTCGCACTGGAGATACTGCTGTGAAATGGGCAATAGTGCATCTTTATTTTTGGTGCCCCACTCGATTTTTGCAGCATTTTTTGATATCGCAAGATAGTTATCTTCGCTTTAGATTCTAGGGTATTCATAATGTAATTCAAGATACCAGTTGCCGAAATGTAAAATACCAGTTGCATCCTAGGTCATTATCAGGGTTGAAATGATAGCCCTTGCTCCTCAGTTTTCTTTGTAGACTCGTGATTTGTGATCGTGCATTTTGCACAGTGTTTATATTTTGGTGAGTCAATTCTTTCACATTTAAAATTTTTGAGTTGGAGAATCCAAGGAAACAACAGGTACTAAGTTTTAATACTGCTGTCTGGCCAGTTTGTCAGATGTTTAGTTGAAAGGCATTCATAATTTTTAATTGAAGATAAAGTAAGTCTCATTAGGAAATTAGAATCACGCTTCCAATATACTCTCAGTCAAGGTAGGAGAGATACTTTATACAATCTTTTGTGAGATGAGTTTCGCTAATGCGCAATTTGCAAAACAGTGGTTTTATATTTGCCCAGCCTGGCCAGTCGTCAACAGTCTATGATCATACCTGATCAGAGACTTGATTTGCTTCCTGGTCTCCGGACCTAGAGACGTCTTCCTCACTATCTTGATTTTAGTCAACGTCTTAATTATCCGCCTGTTCAACGAAATTTGATCTTTCGTTTTCGTCCTACTCATCAGTGTAAAACTTTTGATTTTATTCGAGGCCGGTATCTATTTTTTTGATATGGGTTGAAATTGTGACTGCTCTCTGGATAGCCATTATATGTTAAAACTGCAGAGACATGACAAATTTTGTTGTCTTCTTTGCGATGGCCGGTAACATTTTGAAAGGCTGACTTTGCACATTTTATCATCTCGTCATTTTCGATTCTGACAAAGTGATTTCTTCTGCGAATAATAGAGCATAGGTCTTCGACGGTGAATTTTTGGGGTTCTCGGAGCAGAACTTTTTTTGTACTTGCAGAGCATTCCGCCAATGAAGTGCTCTCATACTCGCATGCTTCGCTCTTTGCTCGGATTATTCCTGCATCGTTGTCATCTAGTAGCCAAGCTGCTATACGACACAAATAAGATATGAAAACTTGTGCATCTTCAATTTTGCTTTCGAAAAATCTGTTTCGCAATTTAAATCTTATTCGCTAAATCGGTCAAGCCCTGTGAATTGATTTCGCAATTGACCAAAAACTTGTTCGCAATCGTTTCGCACAGCTTCATCAAGATTTGAATACAATTCGAGGGCTCTTCTATTTATATGAAGATCTAAACATTGAGCTTGTTGATTCTGTGCTTCTGCTACGCTGGCCACAATGATATTAGCTTGAAAAGTTCTTCAAACTTCAACCAATCTTCGAATTTTTCTCCAGTAAACGGTGAGATTGAAACGTAAAGTGGATATGGTGCTGCCATAAAAGTTTCGATAACAAAAATAGAGAAAATTGCAGTTTGCAGTCAAGCTGTTCGTATTTTTTTGAAAATGATGCAGCTATGATGTTTTTAAAGGTTTCAAAAAAATGTTTTCAAGTTTCATTGTGAATGAATTTTTTTTTGTATTTTGTTGCGAAATTTCTAACTTTTAGTAGTATTGGTAATGACCTCTTTTAAAACGTCCAATTGTACATCTTCAAAATTACAAACTCATTAATCAAGATGAATATAATTTTAGCAATACAAGGGCTTGTAGTAACGCAGAGTTAGTGGTTCCATTTTTTGCTTGATTTAAAAGCTGTTTAATAAGTTTGGTTTTTATTTCATTCTGTTATAGCTAAAGAATTTTGAATAAGTTAGTTTTTTTGCCAAAAAACGCCACTATCTTTGCCGCTACATAATAACTGCAGGTCATTTTCTTTTTTTTTGGTTCTGTTTGCGTTATTATTCCGCTATATTTTGAAATTTGCTCAGTTTTAGAGATTCAATTTAGAATTGTCTCTTACAGCTAAAAAAAATCACAGCTTTATAAAAATGGTGCACCCAGTTTTTTTTAAATGGTATTTAATTGATGCATTTATATCGGTCAGAACTATAAACTAGGGTTTTAGTTGCAGTTATCCAGTTCTTGTTGCATTTGCTGAGATCAAGTTCAAGTTGCAGATAGAGAATTCGGTCTTCTTTCTGGTTATCGAAAAGAAATGTGCCGTTCTGACACTCGCCGTTTCAAAGCCTTAACCGTCATGATTTCAGCTGCAGCAAAATTGTTCGAAAATCTATTTTAGTGTTGAATAAGCACCTCGAGAGGTAACCTATTTAGTTGAATTTAGAGCAAAGAGTTTATGTTTCTTCTTAAGCGGAGCTTTTTAAAGTAAACTTCATTTTGTTCAAATTAATCTAACTGCTGTTAGCTCGGTAAAACTTAACTTCGCTCAGCAGGATACCGCGTGAAATTTTTTTGGATTATTATTCCGACCACTCTGATAGAGGGGGATGTTTTTATTTTCAAAATTTGTTAGGTTGACCAAATTGATTCTTTGAGAGCGTTCCCAGAAAACTAGAAAGGCCTTATGTTGATAAAATTGTCTGCAACGCAGTCAAATTAAAAAAAAAACACTTTTATTTTGGATCTTTTTTTCGAAAGCTTTTCGTTATTTTGGCCCCTTTTTCAGTGAGAGGGTCGAATCTCCGAGGAAAAGATGCCCGCCCCTCCTGTAAAATTTTAGGTTTTGTCGATGAGAATGTATACCTGCGAAAAAAGAAGCCAGCACCGCCCCCTCCTCGTTTTGAACATAATATGCATAAGAATAGTTCCTAGTTTTTATGTCGAGCCTCAAATTTGGCTCAAACTTTTCTGTTAGTTCTTTTTCCTTTGTAGTGTTTGTTCTACAATACTTTTACAAAGTTGTCACTGAATTTATATTTTAAGTCGAAATTTTTCAGAGCAGACGACGTCTGCCGATCCCACTACTTCAAGATCTTCAATCATACCCCCCTCAGAATTTTCTTCTACAGTGTTCTGTGATCGTCATCCAAACTACCCACTCAGGTATTTCTGTGAAAGCGCCATATGTAAAATACCCATCTGTGAAGAATGCTGGGAAAATTATCACAAAGACGAAAGTCACAGAGTTATTCTCTTAAAAGTTCATCGTGGGCCTCAAAACGAAGTCCAATACCGCCTGGCAAAATACAAGTCTGAGTTCAAGGGTGTTGCACAGTTTTTGGAAGGAGAATGGGAAAATCTCCTGAAGCAGGTTGAAAATGCGGAGAGAAAACAACAAAACGTAATGCAATCCAAGTCAGCAAACGAGTTAGAGTCAAAGTCAAAGGAAATTAAAAATTTCTTAGAATTGCATGGGAATGATGTTTACCAGTTTAGGTCAAATTTCCTCTCTAAAATTGATAAACTGCAAAAATCACGAGAGGGTATTTTCGGCAATCACAAAAAGAATACTGAAAGTTCGTCACTGAATAACGGTGCTCCAAACTTTCAAAAATCGATGTCGAGCAAGAAAAAGAAACGAGAATTGGTGGGAGTGACAAAGCATTTAGTAAAAGATTGCACTAGTAAAATTCGCGTTGCAGCGGCGTACAATTCAAGTACAAAAGAATTATTTAGCCCTGAAGTGGGAAGTGATAATGTCATAGTGTTTTGCATAGACGAGACAAGTCGAGAAATTGAAGTAAAACGCAAACTGAATTTGCAGTCACTAAGAAGGACAAAAGGTGGAGTTGAAGAATATTTAGTTTCTATGGCAATGGACTGTAGAAACACACTCTACGGAGTCATATGGCGGAAAAGTGACCAAAATAAGAGATTGGAGGTACTCGATCAGAACAATTTAGCAAAGATTGGACAACTTGACACTTGTGGAATTGAAAATGGCCGCGGTTTTTCTTGGAAAGTTGGTGCGTTCGGTGATACTGTTGTGCTAGCAGTTCATTGCATTCGAAACTTGTGTTCGACGAAATGGTTGGGTGTGACTGTGTTTAAAAATCAACTTAGACAGAACACTATATCGTTAAACATTTATTCCGGTCAAATTGCATCCTACCTTTTTTTGCCCAACGAGAAAATATTGCTGCTATCTTGTGACAAACATGTAGCAGTGGTTTGGTTGCCACCTTTATCAACGCCATGCTCAGTATCTGATTCCAGCTCGGAAACGCAGTCTTTGGTATCCGTAAAAACGTCAACAACTACAGCGACCAACCAGTTATTATCTGGCGATGCTGTGGATCCACGCGCTGTTAAAATCGTAAAATTGCCTACTACAGATGAAATTAATACTTCAATTGTGTGGATAGCTTCGGATGACCAGCCTTCAATCGAATCTCTCGAGGGATACTTATTCGTCTCCGAACAATGCCCTAACTATGTTAACTTTACACTGCATGTGTTTAAAGTTGATTTAGAAAAAGTTCTTTCAACGAATGAACACGAAAGAGAAATGACATCACAGCACATACCCAAAATCACATCTCTTAAAAATACGGACGTTGTTATTCCCATTAGCAACTCAAAAATCGTTGCCACATTAGCTAGTGGAGACAAAGTCAGTAGAATAGTGCTGCTTGATCTAGAGTACCAGAAAGTACCTTGAACAGACAAACTCGTATCATCAAACTGCCATACATAACTTTCTTTGCATCGGACTTGAACCTTCAGCTAACCTATTTTTATATAATTAAAATTATTCATGAAATCAAAGAATCATTTTTAGTACGATATTTTGGATGAACACTAACCGATTATGATCTATCACTTCTCAACAATTGGTGATTCTTTATAATATACGTTTTACAAATCTTACAAGTTAACTTTTTATAATGATTTGAATTTAAAGTTTTCCTCAACTATTCAATAAATATAATTTAAGATTTAAAACATTAAGGTACCCTCCATAGTAACTAAATTGCCCACCATATGTGCGACATTTATGAAAAACATGGTGCCAAAAAGCCGCCACATTTTGCTCAAATAATTTCCCACCAAATTTAGTACAATTTTTAAATCACACTTGAGAATTATTTTGGCGGATATTTGAACAAACTTCTCATAAGATAGGACTAAGCGAATTGTTGTGGAAGTGTTGATTTCCTTTTTTCAAGAGTCTGTTTTATGGTAAAAAAGAAGATCCGTAGGATTTTTCTAGTTTGAAACTTGTTTAGGGGCTGCTATAAGTACAACTGAAATAAAAATATAAAAATGAGTTAGAAGTTGTAATATTTTTTCTAGAAATGGCGTTTAAGGGCTTAGCAATCAAATATACACACTCCGCTTCGCCTCTATAAAAAAAACTCAACAATAAAAGTTTTTCATATCAAAGGGTATTTCTTATTAGTTTTAAAGCCCGTCAGATTAGTCGTGTTAGGGTTAACATACTGTTTTCTCTGTGAGTGAATGTTTGATTACACAGCAAAGCTTGTGTTAAAGTAGGAGATATCTATTTTTTCTAGCCTAATTAGCAAATTTAGCTTCAAGGTATCATGGATCTGTAGCATTGATGTAGGGATACCCGCAACAAAGTAAGTAAGAGGATTCGAGCCTTTAATAAACGTTTTAGTATACTAGTTAAATTGCGTCGCTCTATAAGTTGAGGCATGTGTGTTGGTAATTTTTTTTCAAACTGAATGGTACTGCTAATGCGTCATAATTGCCTTGCGTCACTTGGCAGTTAAGTATACTCATAATTGGCGTGCGTCACTTGAGAAATTTTGTAGATTCAAAGTTTTACGCATTCAATTTTTTCCCAGTAGCGTTATCGGTCAAAATATTGCTTGTTTATGCGAAGTGGAACTTAGCCTCTGTGTTAAACCTTGCAGTTAACACTCCCCAGCTTTGTCAATTTTTGATTTCTTTGAAAAATATTTGAAATCGTTAAAAACCTCGTGAAGAAACTATTGGTTACCTATTTATGTAAATAACTTTTTGTAATATCGAAAACTTTTCAAGAGACAAGTTTGAGGGAAAAAGAATTCAAATGCAAAACTATCTTGAAGATTTTCAATGATTTGCTTCGAAGATGAACAATTTTACTTTCAAAGTTTTGCGAAAATGCAACCATTTTTTCGAGTTATTATCAACAATTTTCTATAAAAATGTCAAATAAATTTTCTGTCACTCTTGATTGAGAAAACTAACTGTAAAGTTTTTAAAATTAAGTTTTCCGAGATAACCACAAAGCCAACAGTCGCTGGAATTATGTGCATAATTTGTAATCATCAATTTAAAGACCAACTTCTGTAATTATTTCAAAAACTTGAACCAATGATCAGCTTGAAGCAATTTTAGATAAACAATGAAAGCAGTTTATCTCATGAATAAGAGCATACATAAATCAAAAACTGTGATCAGCAGTTTTGTTTTTGATTTCAGCAAAAAAATGATGTTTATGAGTCAAAGAACAATCTTTACATCTAAATCAATTCTTAAGATTCGTTCTCAGGGATCTGACCAACAATGAAATTGAATGCTCAACATAGTTCCAAAATGTAACTAAGTCTTGAAATTGAACGCTGTCTAGTCTGTTTTGCTTGAAAAGGCAACTACTTGTGGTCTACAGAAATTCTTTTTGTGAACATTCCCAAATATAGCTTGTTAAAATGCCCAGTTCCCCATTGTCTGTCTTAGTTATTTTGAAATTGAAAATACATAATGGAAATTAATGTTATTAAAGATTTTTCTAACCTGAGAAGCACCAAAATATTGAAATCAGTTTTTGTAATCCAAAATTTAAGAAAAAAAATGCTCTGGAATTTTCAAATTAGAACTCCTGTAAACATTGGTTGTTGTTGGTACTGATGCTTCTAATCTTTTGTGAAGCAGGTCTGTTTTTTGACACAAAACTGCCTAATTATTGTTTCCATCTTCTTGGTTATCTTCTTAGATCTTGAATATTTTTGTAAAAGTCTCAAAGAATCTTGAAGATGTTTTCCAGATTGGGTAAAACAATCTTATTTCTCTTTTTGAACTTCATGGTCATCGTAAAAGTTTAAGAGAGTATTTTAAATGCTTTTTGGACTGTTTAATACCGTATTAAAAAACAAAGTTGTTAAATCTCTTTTGCTATGTTTGTTATTTGTTTAAGATCTTAGCAATTTTTTGCTCAGATTTTAGTGCACAACGGTCAAAAATTCAGAAGCACTTAACTATTTCTATACTTTTTGCTTCAATTTTTTGAGCAAAAGGATCTAAGTAGAAAAAAACCGACTGTTTTAATCGTAGTTTGAAAAAAGCAATTATTGTTAGATGTATATGTTTGAAAAACAAAGTTGAATTTTGGTTTAATTGCCTCTCGTTCAAAAACATTTTGACTGGAGCCTATCATCCTGCTACCTATTCACAATTGTAACGATATGATATCTATCTTCTTAAAACCTTTTGAGAAGTTTTTGAAGTTGCGATTGAAAGGGGGCGTTCGACAGTGCCGTAAATGAAAAAGTGTTCAACCGTTCCGAAAATTGATGATTTTCGGCACTGTTGAACTATAATTTTATTTTCGACACACTTGTACTTCGGCACTGTTGAACGCCCCTCTAAGTGCAGCACAACAGTGCCGAAAATAATTTTATTGTCCAACAGTGTAAAAAATTATCAATTTTTGGCACTGTTGAACACTTTTTCATCTTGGCCACTGATGTACTTCGGCTCTGCTGTACCGCCCCATTTGAAATAACAACATTAAAAAAATAATTCTCATTTACATTTTTTTATTTTTGATTGTAATATTAGACAAAATTATATTTTACAAACTCGCCGATTCATGCAACCATCAACTTTTGAAACAAAACTCAAGCGTTAAAATTAGAGTTTACTGTTTTACTAAATATAAACTCTTTGTGAATTATACAATTGCTGAAGCCAATTTCAAGAATTAATTTTTGAGTTAAAAATTTCAAAAAAATGTTCTAAAACATTAGTTTAAAAAGTCTTGATTTATTTGAGCAAGTTGAAGATTGAATTGTTTGTATGATGCAAGTATGATAAGCAAATGATTTTTGAGTTCGCACTCTCGCTTCAATTGATTGAGTGCCTTTTTAAACCTGATTGTCAATATTTCCACATTTTTTTTATCATAAGGATCCTATCTGAAGATCATAACGGTTCCTGTAGTTTCTGTCCCAAATTTGCATTGACATTAGAATGTTGGTAGTTAGTGACCTGAGAGAGAGAGAGAGAGAGAGAGAGAGAGAGGGGGAGAGAGAGAGAGAGAGAGAGAGAGAGAGAGAGATAGAGACAGAGAGAGAAAGAAAAGGAAATCCGTGAAACAAGCTGAAATTTTTTTATATTTTATCTCCTCTTCCTCATAGATTATTTGCAATATTTAGTCAGATGCATTTTGTGGTCTTGATTTCATTCAAATGAAATGATTTTTTGTGAAAAGTTTGAAACAGTGCTCAAAAGCTTTCACGCTAAATGAACAGTCACGGACCTTTTAATTTTGCTAAACAATAGTTTTGCGGATATTCGGATTGGTTAACACACTGTTTTCTTGTCAACTTCTCAAAAAAAATTTGGTTTTGGAAGTGTTACTATTGAAAACGAAATACGAAGCAGTTGATTTTCCAACTGAATTTGCAAGATTAAATCAAAAGTTCAACCTCATTTTTAAAATAGAATTTGACTGCCGTGACCTTCCTAAAAATGAAAGAGTTTTAATTATAATCTAAGGTATCTAAGGCATTCCTCTAATTGCTCTAAAGTTCAAATAGTGTTTTCTATTAAATCAAGAAGTTTCTGCGCAAAAAACGGTGGTCAGTATATTATACGAGATTAGCACACCTGCATAAAACCTATACTTTTGCTTACCCTTGCAAAAATCAAGAGTATTGCAGTATATTCTTCGAGATATAATTTGACTGTGGTGGTTTTTAAAAAAGGAACGCGTTTTCAACAAGATTTTAAATGTAAACTAAGCTATCTGAAAAATTCTTCTTAAGTCCAGATAATGTTCTTCTATTGAATCTAGAAATTTTTGCAAAAAACGGTGGGCAGCTCATTCTGCGAGACTAGCTCAACTGCATAAAATCCATATTTTTGTTTACTTTTGCGATAAGCGGTATTGCAATCGGGGCGCTAGACTTCTTTTCCCGTAACTAACTTTAGGCGCAGTACTCTTTCTTTTAAAATACGGTTTCTTTCTAAAGTTCTCTACTTTATGTACATTTTCAATAACGTAGTTCTCACGTGCTTTGTGTTTTTTTTTGTTTTATAACTTGCACTGCAGCACAAGAATTTGGTTATTAAGTCTTCACATTTTTCTATTAAATCTAAATCATTGTGTTATAACATTTTAAAAGATACTTTGCTGACTAGTCGCATCTCAGTCAATTCAACAAATTTTGTATTATTTTCTGACTTGACTTGATTATAATTCTGATTCAACTCATTGTTTCATTTTATAAATTGTAGGAAAGTCTCAGCCGTTTTTTCTGAAATTATCTGTTTCAGCTGTGTAAAATTTACACATGCTCGTTAGTGATTGTTTAAAAATTGATTAAGTTTGTTTCCTGATTTAAGAAGCCAATTATCAATTAATTATTCTGAGCTTGATTTGATTCCTTGTCAAAAGTAGCAACACATTCAAACAGGTCAAATAAACTGAATGGACAAAAATACTTAAAAGAATAATCTTTTAATTCAAAAAAAAAGCTAACTTCGTCAAACTTACACTCCAGGTTAAGTATCGGTGGCAATCGCAAAAAGTTTGACCTCCCACAAAATACAAAACAGCAAATGGCTACAGCATCTCAAAGCTCAAGTTCTAGTCCGGAAAGTTCTCTCCAAGGCCAAAGATGTGAGAAAAAGCCCGGAGAGTTTAACAAAGAACTTCCGTGTGGACATTTCCTTTATTATGGTTGCGCCAGCGAATTAGAGCCAGATTCACAGGTATTCTTGTTGAATCTCTTTTTCTGGCCCATACATTTAAAAATTGAACACACTAAACTAACCGAGACAGAAAAATACACGCAAGAAAAAAATTTATCGTTTTTTGTTGTATGTCAAGCAAAAATAGCTCGCGAGCCTTGTCCGCCCTCTTGTTTCGATGTTCACACAATTGCTTGATTAGTCATTCTGTTAAAGTAAATATTGAAGTTCAAAAATTAAACCGCTAAGAAAATCTGATTGCAATCCATATGAATCTGATTGCAATCCATATGAATCTGATTGCAATCCATATGAATCTGATTGCAATCCATATGAATCTGATTGCAATCCATATGAATCTGATTGCAATCCATATGAATCTGATTGCAATCCATGTGAATCTGATTGCAATCCATATGAATCTGATTGCAATCCATATGAATCTGATTGCAATCCATATGAATCTGATTGCAATCCATATGAATCTGATTGCAATCCATATGAATCTGATTGCAATCAATGTGAATCTGATTGCAATCCATATGAATCTGATTGCAATCCATATGAATCTGATTGCAATCCATATGAATCTGATTGCAATCCATATGAATCTGATTGCAATCCATATGAATCTGATTGCAATCCATATGAATCTGATTGCAATCCATATGAATCTGATTGCAATCCATATGAATCTGATTGCAATCCATATGAATCTGATTGCAATCCATATGAATCTGATTGCAATCCATATGAATCTGATTGCAATCCATATGAATCTGATTGCAATCCATATGAATCTGATTGCAATCCATATGAATCTGATTGCAATCCATATGAATCTGATTGCAATCCATATGAATCTGATTGCAATCCATATGAATCTGATTGCAATCCATATGAATCTGATTGCAATCCATATGAATCTGATTGCAATCCATATGAATCTGATTGCAATCCATATGAATCTGATTGCAATCCATATGAATCTGATTGCAATTCATATGAATCTGATTGCAATCCATATGAATCTGATTGCAATCCATATGAATCTGATTGCAATCCATATGAATCTGATTGCAATCCATATGAATCTGATTGCAATCCATATGAATCTGATTGCAATCCATATGAATCTGATTGCAATCCATATGAATCTGATTGCAATCCATATGAATCTGATTGCAATCCATATGAATCTGATTGCAATCCATATGAATCTGATTGCAATCCATATGAATCTGATTGCAATCCATATGAATCTGATTGCAATCCATATGAATCTGATTGCAATCCATATGAATCTGATTGCAATCCATATGAATCTGATTGCAATCCATATGAATCTGATTGCAATCCATATGAATCTGATTGCAATCCATATGAATCTGATTGCAATCCATATGAATCTGATTGCAATCCATATGAATCTGATTGCAATCCATATGAAACTGATTGCAATCCATATGAATCTGATTGCAATCCATATGAATCTGATTGCAATCCATATGAATCTGATTGCAATCCATATGAATCTGATTGCAATCCATATGAATCTGGTTGCAATCCATATGAATCTGATTGCAATCCATATGAATCTGATTGCAATCCATATGAATCTGATTGCAATCCATATGAATCTGATTGCAATCCATATGAATCTGATTGCAATCCATATGAATCTGATTGCAATCCATATGAATCTGATTGCAATCCATATGAATCTGATTGCAATCCATATGAATCTGATTGCAATCCATATGAATCTGAGTGCAATCAGTGTGTTTCAATTCATAAGAAGATGAATTGACTCTCAAACAATAGATGATTTTAATGCAAGAAATACAAAATATGTTTAATTATATTGTTATGTTTGTTTTTGCAGCATTTGCAGACATGTCCAATTACAAATTGTCAAGGTCGAGTAAAAAAATCAAGAAGCCAGTTGAAGACCAGAGATTTACCCACCCCATTAGGTTAGTGTTGTTTTGAACAAATTGAAAAAAAAAATTTGGTGATTAGTTTTTTAACTAAATTTTTCCCACCTACGGATATGAGCAAAAGTTTTGAATGCAAGTGTTTAGTTTACCCAAAATTTTTCTAAATCCTAAAATTTTAAAGACGGGGGGGTCGAGCTTTAAACTTAGAGCAACTATTTGATGAACGGATTGACTCTTTGTACTGAATTAGAGTCAGTTTACAATAACTATTATGTTGATTAATGGTTATTTAAAATGTTGTTGAGCTTGAAAAAGCATAATTTTGGATCCTTACACCTCAGTTTTCTATAAAAATCTAGTCGATGCTGTTGCCTGAAATTGTGACCTCAGCTCTCCAAAAGGGCCAGAGAGGTGTGTCCAGCTTCTCCTTGTGTCCGCTTTTAACTGACTTTTAAAAAATCACTGAGTAGATATATCATTTTCCGCCGTGTCATTGATCTCCTTGGAAAGCTCCAAGATTTGTCATTTTCTTCTACATTTATACACTTTCGCCACAGCCGCCCATTCTTTTTTTAAACTTTCAACTAATTAGTTTATCGGTGTGCCCTCTTTTCGTCACCATCCGATGATCAGTAAGCTGTTTATGCTTGGAAATATATGTGTAGGGCATGTTTTTATCCCAAACTCGCTGAAAAGCATTGCTCCGCTTTTCCGATTTATCTCACGTTGTTTGCTTTTTTGATCTGACCATACAAGAGATCTTTTAGTCAAGAGATTCGGTAAAACTATGATTTAAAATCAGGGGCGGATTTAGGGGGGGGGGGGGGGGGCGGACGCCCTCTCCTCTCAGGGATTCGAACCCCTGTCAACCCAAAGGGTCCCCCTTTGGTACTTTTTAAGAAATCCATTTTTGGCCGATCGACCCTAAAATTTTTCTAAAGGCGCCTTCGGCGTCAATATATACTAATTTTGAGGGGGAGCGCGCGCTAAAACAAAACGCGTTTTTTGTCAAAATTTTCCAATAAGTGCCCAAAAACAGCTTTTTTGACCTGTTTTTTCAAAAAATTGCCTGCGGCGCAGAAAGTTTGGCCCAAACAGGGTCTTTACTGCTTTGGGAGAGCTCGGAAAATCAATCTGATCGACCTAAAAAAAAAGTCGTCAAATTTTTTGAAAATTTTTTGAAAATCCGCCCCCCCCCCCCTCGAGAAAATCCTGGATCCACCCCTGTTTAAAATGATTAGGTCTCAAATGTCAATGAAAAATTTAAGAATTCCAAATAGCATGACTTATAAAAAAAATCTAGTATGACATAACATTTGAACATTTTTCAAATAGCATAAACAGTCCAATTTTTGAAAACTGCATTAATTAATTTCAAAAAAGCTATCCGAAAGCTTCAACTGAAAGAATGAAACTGATGGAACTGTTATTTTACAAGTTTTGACAAATTTCTGAAGTACTATCTCAGATTTGTCAAAATGAAGTGATTGGGCTTCGAATCTCTGTTTTACTTTGCAAACCATTGCCATTAGATTTCTCTATTTTATCTTGCTCGAAATTATATGTGTAGAGCATTTCTTTGTCCCAAATTCTACGCTGAGGTTATCAAATTGGGGAATTCTTTTTTCTTTTTCATGAGCTGTAAGCAATTCCAATCCTTTAACTCCACCAAAATGGCATTCAGAAATAAATTAATAACCTGGAACTCTAATTGATGAAAAGTCGTTTTCTATAGGAGCTTGAAACCCAAGATGTTTTGAATTTCGGCACTGAGTATTCGTAGGGTAACTTCTGAGACCATCATAATATGTCTGATGCGTTTCTGAGGGATAGCGATCCAAGTAATTGTCAAAATCAAGAGTTCTTGTCTGTAGAATGTACCCAGTTTCTTACGTCATGCCTACTCATCTAAATGCCTACTCATCTAAATCGATACTTCTAATTTTCATTTTCTTGAAGATGTTTGGCATCATTGTGTATTGTTGAAGATAATGTCGATGTTACATATTGGAAGGAGTAGATACTTGTATCAACGGTTCTGACCACATTTTTTTTGTAATATGGGTAATTGATCCGAGTGATTCGGGTAATTTTTCGAGGGAAGTTATCGTAAGATTTTAGTTGTAAAGTTAGTGAGGTATTTGTATCAATTATAGTAAAGCGTATGGGCAAATGATCGGTTCCAATAATTGAAGTGAGCATGAAGACAAATTCAGTTTCATTACAAAGCCAAAAATAATAATTTGAGTATTTTTTTTAATAGAGTAAATTAAAGTTCAGTCTCTCGTTAAAAATTTTATCTCACATTTCACAATCCTGATAATTCTTCGAATTAATTGTTGATAAGTGATTAGCAATTTCTTGCAAGAGAGCGAAAAAAAGCATAAAGAATGACTTGCTATCAGAAGTGCTACTTGAAATAATAATCATATGTGTTTTTAGGTTTATTTGTTAGAAATTCCCAGAATTGGTTATTAGTGAAATGTTTGTTATTGCAGCTTTGAAGTATTATAACGGCTGTATTGCTACGTACTCCACATTGTTTTTGTTTCTTCTCGGTGCATCACTTTCGATTTTTGACATTTTTGATTGCGTTGAAACAATCAAAATCTATCACCATTAAAATTTGCCGGCTAATTCAAAAAAACCAAAATTTATTCGGAATCAATTGTTTTGAGTTTCGGTTTTAGTTTTGACGTTTGACGTTTTAGTTTTTGACTGGTTGACTAATCGGAGGCAAAACAACGTTTTTTTTTTAGAGTATCAGTTCTCCTTTGGCTAGAACGCTTTCTGGACAAGAGTCTGGGACCTCGACCACAATTGACGAAGTAGCTCGTTTTTGCCATCGTACAACAAAAGTCATAGTGAATATTTTCAATTGTTGTTTTTTTTGGAAGCGAATTGCTTCAATAGGTACCCCGACATACCAATATTTCTCCTCTCTTTTTTATAAACTCAGCCTCAAATAAACAATAGGCCAAATGCAAGCCAAAGCAAGGGATGAGTTAAAACTTGAGCCAAGATATTTAGCTCTCAACCTGGCACCATAGAACAATACTCATAAACCAAACAAACTATTTTTCAGCACCTTTATTTCAGCGACGCGCTTTTCCAAACTCTCAAAAATAGTTCGACAACTTTCTGCTATCTGATGACCGAGATTTGAATAAAAACATGACTAATAGTGGCTAGTAATCATGGAGACTATGTAAAGATCCCATCGACAATTTACAGTTGTAACACTTTCGGTTAATTTGGGTGAATGATTTCTGTTAATGATAGCCCAGGCCACGGCCTCCCGGGTCGATGTCGGCGAATAACTTTTATAAAACTTTTTCAGTCGCGGAATTGTTGATTCCGCGACCGATAATCCATATTCTGGACAGGATTTTAAGTCTGGACAGCGGAAAAACTCTGGAAATACCGTATCTCGGTCGCGATGGTATGTCCACACCCTGTAAGTCGGTTGATCTATCACGATAGTTCCTGCTTGTCATCAAATTTTCCTTATAAAAATGTACCAAAAATACCCGTTTTTTTTTTGTAAAACCACATCTGGTTGTCAATGCTTTTAAATACTTGTTTTTCTCAAATGTTTTGTGCTCCCGCTTTCTGTCGAACCTTCAAACATTCCTGCATAATGTTCTTCTCTCGTTTAATTATCATCTTCTGTTTTTGCCATCAATTACATTTGGGTTTTTGATAGTATTCACGTTTAATGGTGGCTTTTTGGCTTGCAATAGCCTTTTAGCGTTTGTCGCCCAAAGACGCGCGCAGATTTGATTTTAACCTTCCGTCCAATTTATTTTTATAATTAGCATCGACTCTGCTTGTTAAGACAACACTCGCCGCCAGCAGTATTTAACCCCTTAAGCAGCAACAAAAGTTTTATTCGGATCAATGTCATGTTTACTAACCATGTGAGTTAGGACTGGAGTGTATAACTCATAGAGTAATTTCGGATAGGGTACACCGTCTGCTCGTCACGCTATCTTATTTTCGGCCGGATAGATTCGTGCAACTTCTTAGTCTAATACCGATCCTAATCTTACTCTTATACTATCTAGTCTCAGGTTGTTTAACTAGTCTCTGCTAGGCTCAATAGATCTAGGGTATACTGGTTTATTGCGGCTGCTGAAGTGCTCGGGAGAGTCCAACTAATTTCTAAGTTAAATTCAAATCTCTCTGGTGCTGAAATTACAAGTAACTTCAGCACTTACAAATAAGTGGGTTGTTAGTTAGATGGATCATGATTGGTTAATATTAAATACTTTACATTGGTAAAATATCTAATTTATCCAATCATAAAATGTAGTTTAGATCAGGTTCCACCCATCCGGGTTTTACAGAGTTTTTTAGAATAGTTCTTCTGCAATTTGAAGGATGGATGATGGACGTTGGTTTTTGGCGAACATCATTTTCTTCCGTTTCCTCTTTGTTAAAGAAGTTCCAGGAAGCTGGAGTTAGAGACATAAGACGTTGTGTCTTCTAGTGACAACGACTAAGTCTTTGCAACAAACTCAAATCTGATTTCAGAATGGTTGGCTATGTCAGGTTTTTCTGTTCTGCGTGGAGAACTTCTTTTGTGTCTGATCTAGTTTGGGAATGGCGTGGAGATTGTGCGTGGAGGGGATGCCTGGTTACTCGGATCTGTACGTATACTTGAACATCGAGGTGGTCATTGGTCTAGTTCAATGAAGTCCTTTTCTGCGAAGTCAAGTCGTACTCTAAATCCTTTGAGTTGTGATTGTGAGTGGCATATCGATTGTGGTTGGTCATTCTCTCTCGAGTGTAGTGGGGTCGTTTTGTCTTTAGATGTTCGTCCTTGGTGTTGTATTCTGATCTATGTATTGCATAATGTAATTTACATTTTATAAAACATTTATTAGTTTAATATTTTTTAATTATGATTTTAGTTAGTTGTTTTCACAAAAGCTTTTTGTTTTAGTTCGGTTATTTTGAAGAGTTACTCACCCTTGAGTAGCTCTTATTAAAAATAGAGGTGTGGTCACAAAGCGTGGATGTAGCGCGGTGGG